GGGGCGGGGGAAGGGGATGGGTATATTCACACCTGATGGGTGCGGTGTGCACCGTCCGCGGGATGGACACGCTTGAAGCTCTGACTCGGGTGGGGCAGAGGCAATATATGTAACCTAAACATTTGTACCCCCATAATATGTGGAAATAAAAAAGGAAAGAGCAATAAAAGTTATTTTTACAGAAATGTACAGTCACCCTATTTATTAATGCTTTTTTATCCCTGTCATAATTAATGTTCCCCCCACTCGCCCACCCACACCGACTGCAGAGACCCAGAGCTCGCAGGGGTTTTGCTGGAGGCCTGCCCGGCCCTTTGCTCTGCAGCCCCCAGGATTCCCTGCTACGTGAACACTCGTGGGAACCACCCTCTCGGCAGGAATCATTCAGGCAGAAGGCAAACTGGAAAACTGGTTGCACGACAGCGTAACTGTACTCAATGCCACAGAACTGCACGCTTAAGAATGGAGAATTTTGTATTACGTGTATTTTACCACCAAAAAATACAAAATTAAAGACAAAGGAACAGAGGGAGAGGGCTTGGGAGATGGGCAGCAAAATGCAAGGGGAGCTCCGCCCGAGGTTTGGTTCCGGCTGGGGAAGCTGGGATGGGTGGGCTGCTGCACGAGGTCGCTGATCAGGAATGTCAACGTGGCTGCCGCAGGGAAGGCCATGCTCAGAGGTGTGGACCGAGGGTTGTGGAGTAAAGTGGTTCCATGTCTGCAGCCAGCATTTGGATAGTTTGGCACAAAACAGAGGGTGTGCCGGGCAGGGAGAGGAGGAGAGAGAGAGAGAGGGGTTGGTAACCCCAGTGAGGGCCACCCCACGTTCACTGCACTGCTTCTGCAACGTTTATGTGTTCCAAATGTTTCAAAATAAACACGTGAGTCCAGTGTGTAGGCTTCTGGCTCCCTAGTAGCGGCCTCCCAGGAAGATCACAGACCCCCTCCACCCACACAGGGTGCCCTTGCTGCCTTCACCCCACCCCAAGGGGCCACCCAAAGTGCGCCCCCACCCTGGCAATTCATGGCTGCCTTTAAGACTGCCCAGTGGCTCCCCAAGCAACGGTGTGTGTGTGGGGGGCAATGGTGCCACGCTGAAGTACAGGGGAAGGGACGTCCCACAGTGACCCTGTCTTCTGACCCGCCAGGCCCTGACCTATAGCCCCGGCCCTGTGGGGAAGCCCAGAGAGCCAGGCGCGGCCCTCCTGCCTCCTTCACCCTCAGGCTCTGGGTCGCCCCCATCCGACGCTCCACCCCAGCTCATCCTCGGTCGTCTCATCACCTGACAAGCACTGAGGGCAGGAGAAGCTGTAGTGGGGACTGGGGACTCTATTTAAAATAGAATCAGAACAAGAGAACTTTACAAATTATGGTTATACAATATAAATGTTATAAACAACGATGCTGTAAAAATGATATGACAAAACGGAGACTTGGGGGAGAAAAATATGCCGAGTAACATTTTGCCTAAGAGGCAGTGGATGGATGCTGAGTAAATTAGAAAAAAATGTTATTTAAAAAAAGACACAGCCTGGGCAACATAGCAAGACCCCACCTCTATAAAAACAAAAACATACAGGCCCTACATTTAAAACGTGACGTTTCCTTGCGCCTAGAGGCAGATTTCAAAGGACGAGGACCCTGTGGGGAAACCTTTGGCCCTGGGAGCCGCAGCCTTGGGAATTCAAGGCAGGCAGCTTTGTTTCCTGCTCTCCTCCTCCAGTGGGGCAGCACCCGGGGGTTGGGCGAGGGACTCAGGTTCCCTTGGCCCCCAAACCACGGCGGCCACCGTGCACTTTTGTCAGTATCTTCTTGTACCCAGGCCCACCCCTTCCTCAGCAGATTTCCAGAGCCACCATTCTCAGCAGGGGTGTGGAGGCACTCAGTGCCTGGGAACTATCAGTCTGGGAGGCTTCCTGGAGGAGGTGGGACATGGGTCAGAGAGGCAATGAGGGGCATCCTGGGAGGGCCCAGCAGGAGGGGACCTGAGGCCTCCTGGGGACAGGCTCCTGGAGCCTCAGGGGTCCAGCTCCCCAGGGGCCCAGCGTGGGGGTCCCACTGCCCCATTTCAGTCCAAGGGCAGCAGGAAGGGGAGGCCTCAGGGGCCCCACCTAGTGTCCGAGCCAGTGGCTGGTCCCCCAGGCTGAGGGACCCAGGGTGAGAGTCCCCTGGTCTGAGATATGGCCCAGGCCAGGAGAGGGCTGGGGAGGGGGCCCCAGGGGTGGCGGGTTAGAGCCGGGCCTCAAAGGACCTGGAATCTTGGAATGTTTAAAACTTGCCCATGGGCCGGGGGCGGTGGCTCATGCCTGTAATCCTGGCTCTCTGGGAGGCCGAGGCGGGTGGATTGTTTGAGCTCAGGAGTTCGAAACCAGCCTGAGCAAGAGCGAGACCCCGTCTCTACTAA